AGGGTTGGATTCCTGTTATCTTTTGTAGATAGATTATGCATAAAAGATAATTATTGTACGGTCCTCGTCCCCGTGCTGTGTTAAAAATTTCACAAAAAAAAATTTGGGTGGGTCAAACCTTTTGAAAATTTTCGTGTTTATGAGGAAACAAAAAGGAGGCTGAATATTGCACCGACAAGAGTCAAAAGACACAAGGGCATGTTTGGTGGGGTGTAGAAGCTTGTAGATTTTTTCTCTCATAAATTTAAAGTTTGCCAAGGGAGAAAGAAAATTTAAATATGGCTTTTGAAGTTGCTTATAAGCAGCTTTGAGAAATCTAAAATTTGTCATGTAAAGTTCCCAAAACTTTGTTTATAAGTTGTTTTAGAAGTTAAAATCAAAATCTTCCTTTCGAAGTTTCAAAATTTTCAACCAAACATGCCCTCAATCAGCACATGTGAGAATAGAGGCGAGTGAATCTGTATGGAAGATTTGCAAGTTTGACTAGGGTGCTCCATGTGAGCTTTATTTTTGAGCTCAAGCACAAGCTTGAGCCTAGTTCAATTAAACGTTTTAAGTATTCAAGTTTGAAAAGCTAAAATTAGCTAGCCTAAATTTGAGCTTGATGGTAGCATCGAACTGGACCCTGTTAGGTACAGAGAAACTTTAGTACAGAGAAAGAAAAACTTAAACAATATAATTAACCGTAGCTACAAAACTTTTCCTTTACCTTGAATTCAGATTTGCCGGCTTAACATCAAAGAACAACAGCCATGGCCCTTTATTCCTCTCTTTGAAAACTGTTCTCGAGTTCCCTGTTTCTGATCAGATGGATCAAAACAACCTACTCATCTTTGTCTTCGTCCTCGTCATAGTTGAAAGGCAGCGGTACAGACTTGAACGCACGGTATTTGCCTACATTGTTCAAGTGCTCATTTTCCAGCCTGAAGAAATTCCATATACCACGACGAATGATCTCCAGACAAGCAACCAGGGTGACCATGGTTTGTGTGTGTAAAGAGAACAAGGTGAAACCCAACACAGTTTGCAGCCACGCAAATCTCAGCAACACATTCAGGGCCTGTGTTTTTCAATCCAGTCCATTAGTTTAGATATTTAAAATTCTTGACACAAGTACATAGAGATTAAGTTAATTCCTCACCATTGCTATGAAATAAATCTTCTTCTGAGGGAGGAGGAGTTTGTCCCTCAGCCACTTGTTCTTAGAACGAAGCTGTAGAAGTCCCCAGTCGTAGATAAGGTCCCAATATGTGCCAACAACAGCTGCAATCACTGAGAAAATCCAGGCCAACACTTTCCATGTCACACCTTTGTTAAGAGTGTAACCCACTGTTCTAAAACATACAGCAAGTATTGTCACCAAGTATTTCAGTCCGTTATATCCTTGCAAAGGATCTTTCTCTTCATAAAGCCGACGCAGACACTGAATATGCAGATTATAGCAATTAGTTGATAGTTGAAATCATTTCAAATTTCAATGGTGAAATTAGGACAGGTTTGAGTCAAGTTAATTACCTGAAGGAAGCGAGACCAGTACGGAATCAGAGCAACGATGATATTGAAAGCTTTGAATACATCACTAGAGTTGCATGTGTTTAGCCTGTGTTTGAAGTCTCCCCAGCCATAGTAGCAAATGTAGAACTCAAGGCTTCTAAATGCTTGAACCTGGCTGGTGAACTGATCTGCTAGGAAGAAATCTGGCAGTCTCACCTGCAGTAGAAACAGAATTACGCATGCAGTTCTTTTATAGATATGGTATTGTCCTGCATTGGTTTTTGTATAAAGCAATAATACTGTATGTTTTTTAATTGTACCTTGTAGAGAGGAGCGCAGATACAGTGGAACAAACATGTTAGGAAGAAGAATCGACTTGATCGACGTAGTCTGTTGAATGGCAAGAACAGAATAACGAGTACTGTCTGCAAATCAAAGAAGAAATTAAGGAAAATTGAAAACCAGTGGTTTTGATCATGTTTTTGGAAGGGAATGTATTCGATATTCTTACAATGACAAGGAAGAGAGGGAGAAGCTCAGTGAAGGCTTCGTAAGACTTTGTATTAGGATCCATCTCCATGTCAAGACTGGATAGTACACTGACCATAGCTAATGTTCCAAGTGCAAAACTTAGGAGGAGAACTTCTCTGTAGCCTAGTTCTGTTCCCTGTTTGAAACCAAAAATGAAGGCATAATTCACCCGATAGCGCCTCCAGTAATATACGTTGGCAGCATACATCAGCATGTGCAGAACCACAAACCCGAACAAGCTGAAAACAGATTTGTCATAAACTTATCAAATATATTAGGGATTGAAGAGACATTTATTTAGGCCAAACTAAAATCTCTTGGTTAATTACCTATATAGAGGAAACATGGTTTCCATGTACTGTTTCTGCCCTGGCTGACCCATTATATTGCGTGCACGGATGATATAAATTAGGGCTGCTAGCAAAGCAACTGTGCAGCCAGCAAAGAAACCTAACATTTTCCCACCGGAATTAAGAAACCTGAGTAAATAAATTGTCTACAAAGAAAAAAAAATCAGTTTTGTTCATGAAGTATAATGTTTAATTACCTGTAGAGAATGTTATTCTATGTCTTTCTCTCGTTACTTTTGGTCTTAAAATGTTCATGCCTTTGGTACGATTGGCATTAAAGAAATGCTTAATGAAAGTAGCTTCAACTCTCTCCATAAGCTTGGTAACCTGAAGGGAGCAGCAGAGACATGGCTGATAATCATAACCTAAGGCCTTAAAACACATAACATTTACATACGAACAGCAACCAGGGCATGTACTCACCTCATCCGAGCTGCCAAGATAGGAGTTATCTACCATTTTCATGTAAGATTTTGCTGCATTTCTTGAAGTAATCTGCAGGAAGAACAGAATTAAATATTAGGCATGGAAATTCAATTCATTTGCATA